CCCTACCACCATCTCTCGGCATTTTCCGAACGCTGTTTTCATGCACACTTCTGCCCATTATATATTTTTTATAATTTATCCCGATATAATCAAATAAATATCGCCAAATGCACCGAATAATCCACCTTATTCATCGCACACGATTCTTTCATCTGTTTTCATCGATTTCTACCTGTTTTTCATCCAAAAATTGCATCCACGCAACATACACGCTACATACACGCTACATACACGATATAGCGTGTATGATAGTTTGCTGGGGATGAGATGCGTATTGCACGCGTGTACCGATTGTTTTACGCCGGAAAAGTATCCTATACTTTGCAGTGATAAAAGTAGAACGTTGTAAAATAATGATAATTCCTAACTATTACTGTAAAATGATAATTTCTTTTAATTCAGACTTGAACGTTCCCCATTTTTGATTTCATTGCTTTTTTAATTTTTCATTCTTTCATTCTCTCAAAATAGAAATAAGTACATTAGCTGAATAACGCAAGAATATAATCCTGATTTTTTTTAAAGGGGACTAATTGAATCTTCACTGAATGAATATGGCTCAACAAGCATCAGTAATTGTTATTCGAAGTAAGTATAAGTGGTTAGCCAATATTTATGATACATGTTCTTTTTAGTTTATTGAAAGCCTCTCCAATTTCCAAGTTAACGAGTTCGAAAAGTATGTCAATCAATCTGATTCTTCAATCAATTTTTTACCAAATTACTAATTCATGATACTAATGGTTCATCTGTTCCTCTACTCTTGAAAATTCTATTCGCAATCGATTACAAACTCGAATCAATCCAGCTTCTATTTCACTCAAGTAAATACAGGTTTGAATGGCGCAAGGGTATTGAAGGAACGCGAAAACTCTATTCGAATATGCCCATATTTGTAGTAAGACGAGACGTTACAAATACTTAAGTTATTTCCGACTTAAATCAAATGGAAAAAAGATTGAATGACAATCAATTGCCTAGATACTCGATCGACACTTTTTGCTTGCGAATGGAAGCATTGCGATCGTTCGATTCCTCGATTTCCCAATTTCGCCTGGAAATTACGTAGAACGGTTTGAAACGTGAAAATATGAAGTTTCAAAGCCATGTGTGTATGTGCAGATGGTCAACTATTCTTACAAAAGGAGGGGACTAAACGGGTAAATTAATTCCCAAAAATCTGAAACTTTGAGAGATTACAGGTATTCCATTCGAAGGCAACTATCACGAAAATTGATGGCAAAATAAAATAAATAAATAAATAATATGTGAAGTAACAATCATATGTCTTCGACCGTTGGGAACGGCTAACTACTTTTTTTTCTTAGTGAACGTTGCTTGGGAAATGAGTAGTAGAAGTTATACAGTTTCAACTTATAAACTTTCTACATAACTTTTCGAAATCTGGGGTAGAAATTGCCATTGCACTTGTTAAAACAACACTTAATAACCTCACGATCTGTCCTAACAGGTAGGCAGAAGGAATAGACCAGGAGAAAAATCCCACTCATCCCAAACGTGTAAAAACCAGCCCAACTAAACAGACCATAGAAAAATTAACATTAGTCTATTTTTTTCTATTTTTTGATTCCACCTCTTTTTATCTAAATAAATTGTGACGTACGCCACTGCTCCTAAGAGTAAACTTTAATTCTTATCAATAAAGTATCTAAGAACTTTTGCCGGACGCTAGTCAGTGACAATATTTCTTGAGAGGCACTGACTCCTCTCAGCTCAATTCAAGATCTGTAAAGTTTACGTTTATGTTTTACGTTATAGAATCTACTCTTATAAGTGAGCTGCCCGTCATTTTGAGTTTTTGGGTCTACACTGCACTAAGTATACGTATTACACGGGGGAGGGGAGATGATACCCCTTCTCTGGGGTTCTCGTGAATCTCAACAAAGAAGACACGAGTTTTCCAATTCAAAAACAAAAGGATTGCAATTTACAAAAAAAAAGTAGAAAATTAAACACAAAACAATACCGAATATAAATTTCGGGTTTTTCGTGTTCCTGTCACAACAAAAAGAAATCAACACGAAAAAAAAAAATTTAATTGACCGCCTTTTCAGGTAAACGTTAATATAAATTATTCGATACTCGATCCCAATTAGGAAATAATGACAATATTAATCGGAAACTTAAACTTAAAGTTGACTTTTAATCTCAGAAAGAATCGTCAGATTCCCGCAACTCTGAACAGACGCCACAAGGGACACCATTCTGTGGCCAACAGTAGGCTCCTTAAAATTCTATATTTCCTCAAAAAAACCATATTATCCGGCTCTGTCCACCTCTTCGGTCGTTCTGGCACGTCCTCTTCCAGATAGGACAGCAACCAAGAGGCCAAAAATACTCAACTCATACTCAAAATATGAGAACAATGTTCCCTCCTCCAAAACTCAACTTAACAGTATGCCGGGGGCAACTCTGCGCAAGCTTGAGCCGGTACGTTTCACAATGCTAGAACCTCAAAGAAGGGGACGGGATTTAAAGTTATGATTTTAAATTACTCCGCCAAACAGAACGAACGTATTATTACTAAAACGATAAAAAGAAAAAACGAGAGAATTGAGCGATTGCAAGGGGGAAACCCTCGAGTGAACGTAAACATACACCGGCAAGAACCGGAAGAGTTACCGGTAAGAGACAAAAAAAAATTAGTGGTTTCACAGGCCACAACAAATAGCACCGAATATTTCCGATTCTTGCTGGAGTTAAACTTAATGATGGTAACGCTTAGAAACACTTTGAATTTTTACTTGGCCGATAAGATAGTTTTCATTGACCGATGAAGAAATTTCAGGGAGCGGCATAGTAATGTTCCTTAGGCCTGCAGTTTATGCCGAGATTTTGAAGCAGTACAGTAGTTTTTATCGGAATGACACTATAAAAATTCATATATCTTTTCTCCGTATACAGGATTCTAACTTTTCGTTCCTTTCAGTCATATACCATTACTACTATATTGCTGACCATTATATGCTCCTAATATTCTTCACTCTTTGCATGATGGATGCCAATTTCTGAGCATAAAAATGTTCAAGATAAATGCGAAAATAATCCTAATCTAGATTAATTGGTGAATATGAAGATGTAGGAAATGAAAATGGTACTTCGAAAGAGAATATATAAAAATTTCATTCTACAATTTTATAATAATGGGAAGAATGCAATAATAATAATGATTATAAGTAGTGAGTGATAGTATGATGAATTTCCTGTCATTGATGTATGCAACAATCACCGGAGAAGTATATTCATTCGATATTACTGATTAATGTCTAAAGCTATCAATCTTTGATCGATTACTTGAAAATATCCCACCGGATATTACGCCATTGTCATTATGCCACAGTGTAATTATCCTTAAAATTATTCCTGCACGAACCGATTTATATTCACTCCAAAACTTAAATTCCGTAATTAAATTAACAAGTGCATGCTATCTCTATTTCATCGGAACAGAGAATAAAAGAAGAAAAATCTTATCCACTTATCTTCCACCTTTCAATTCATTTTTATTTAATACTCCTTTCTCAATTTCATCGTAACCACTCAGCAGTTACAATTGCTGTACTCGAGAATTTATATACAGATAAATTCGTTTAACCGTATTCTCTTGGACTATGCCAAGAGGCAATTCAACGCGGCGGAGTTTAAAACCGGTTTCAGCGAATGCTTCACTGCTGCGCTTCTCGAAACATTATTTCCGGCCAGCCGAGCTCGAAGAAAATCCTCCGATGTGCAAGTGAACCATCCACTAGTCATCCTCATCCTCCTCCTATCTTATCTTCTTCTCTTTTCCCAATCTAACGCCGAGAAGGGAACGCCGAGATCCTCCTGGTATACCATGTTTCTCATTTTCGACAACTTTTTCCCGACATAAAAAAAGAGATGAGGGGGAGGAGAACCGGGAATATATTTTCTAGAGTCGCTCGAAACGAGGAAATTGTCCTTAATATAAGGATGGAACCAGGTTTTATGTAATCACCATGATGAAGACTATTGTTGTATTCATTCCTTCTTCACCTTTACATTTCAGATTTCGCTTCATGGAAGAGAGTAATTGCACTCGGTACTTGGTAATGTTTCACGGTCTCCCCATTAATTTTCACTTAATTTAGGTTGTAGTACTCAAAGACCTTCGAAATTATTGGATATTTCTACAATGTTTTTTGCAAAAATCTCTGCCGCTTGTTCATCCTGAGGAAACTTGCGGAAAACAACTACTTATTCAGAGGATTGCTTTTCTCATACCGATTTTGCTCCCATCGATTTGCTGTGTTCGGGGTTTCGTGACAGCTTCACATTGTTCTCAGTCTTCTTATCGATTACGCTTGATGAATTTTTTCCATAACAGACTCATTTTCAATTAACTCATTCAGTATGGTCAACATTATCATATCAAACGCATTTCTAATCTGGCTTCGATCGAATAAAAACGCGTTTTCTGACTGTGAAGTCTGACTGAAAGTGATTCTGATTCATGCGCGTTATAATATAAAGCCGCATTCGTCAGATTCACTGTTTCCGTCCTAGGCGTGAAAAATACTATTTTGTGCGTTACAGGTGCGTACACGGAGAGAAAAATCTGTGAATTTTTATATTGTGATTCCGATAAAAATTACTGTGCTGCCTTACAATCTAGGTGTAAACTGCAGGCCTGAGAAAAATTACTATGCCATGCAGTAACATTTTTTCATCGGCCGAGCAAAACTTCGTTATCGGCCAAATAAAAATTCATAGTCGTCGCAACAGTTACCATTGTTAAATTCAACTTCAGCAAGAATCGGAAACATTCGACGTTCATCGCTAACCAATCACATTGGGTTAAAAAATGCTTGGAGAAAATGCTGTGTAGCACAGTAGAAATGAAAAGAGAGCACAATAAAAAATACCGATGTGGATAGAAATTTTTGAAGGATTTCTATCAATTTTTCTTTCAAACTCAACGAAAAAATGATAGACATTCAAATTTTATAGTGCTCTTTAGTAAATTTTATAGAGCCTCACATGATTAATTACGGAATGTATAAGAAAATTTGACATATTGATGGTAATTTTTATTTGTGAATCAAAGAATTTCTGATATTCTAGCATTTTGCACCACGATTATGGTGCTCGGCACAGTAATTTTTCTTGGACTTTTCTCTCCGTGTACATGAAGAACGTAAGTCGGCAATAGGTATATTAATTACAATTTCTCAGCTATCATCCAGGTACATCCGAATGAGAGGATAGAAAATCCAAAATACATATTTACTACGTAAATGCAATATGTCTGTTTATTCATATTGTGTTGATGTATTTGAAATATCTTTCGGATGATATATACTGTCGGAAGTTTTATAGTCGGAGGTTAATACGAATGTATTATTACGTCACGTTTTCCAGTAAATATTTCAGAATATTTATTGGATGTAACATATTGAACTTTTAATTTTTCTGAATATATACTTTCCATATAATGAAACAGTTGAAAATTCAACTCATCCATTTTGCCGTAGTTTCCTTTGATGTAATTGAAGTTTCGTGACTTTTGTTCCCTGTTCCTTAATGATTTCCTACACCAATGAAATGTT